ACACACACACACACACACACACACACACACACACACACACACACACATATATATATATATATATATACACACGCACGCACGCACGCGCGCATGTATATGTGTGTGTGTGTGTGTGTGTGTGTATTTTTATATAAACAATTTTTTACCAGATAAGTGTTGTTGTGTCGCCGGTAAACGAAAGTCGTGCACGACGTAGCCCGTAAGATAAATAAATAAATATATATATATGGGCAGCGACGGAGACACACACACACATATATATACAATAACAAGGCGGCATAATTTCAAGCGTCTTCGGTGCCTGTGATATGGGATCCGTGACTTTCCGCTATCTCCGTCTCGTTTCCAACAAAATAAGTCGTCGTAACTTGACATATAAATTGATTGGTGGATGTGAGCGAATCAGAGGGCGGATCTAGGATCCACCAATCGAGCGAATCTTGCTTTTATTAACAATAGCGGGAATCGTGGCGCACGGCTCGACTCGAGTCAGTTAGCAGTAGTCAATCGAAGAGTACGGTCATAGCGGAAGCACGATCGCACAATTTAGATATTATATCTTATACGAAACGTTGTCGCGACCCGAGTCGTCTCAAAGGCGTCATCGCGATCCGAGCATAAGCTCGAGACGTCATCGCGATCCTGAGTCGACATCAAGGCGTTGTCGCGACGTGTGTGTGTCCTACGCGTTATTACATGCAACCACCGGCTCGACCTGGGGCACATCCTCAAGACGTTGTCGTGACCGAATATATTATATACGAATAATTATATTATATACGAATATATTATATACGAATAATAATACGAAACGCGAGCGCATTACTGTGCACCTTACCAAAAACGGACATTGTAAAAATAATATGAACAAAAATAAACAGACATACGAAACCACAGTGTGAATACGAATAGTGTTGACGCTGAATACAATCCAAGTGTTAATAATCTTATTTTTCAGTAAATAAATTAATATATCTTTTGAATAAATTTTCATTTTATTTTATTCATATTTCTATATTTTGTTTTCTTATTTCAGCAATCATATGATTGCTACCTGACCACTTATTAGAGACACAATCTTTTACACTGTATGATTTAATATACGGTAATGTTGCAGTCTAATTTATGTACATGCATTAGTCTGAGTATTTTAATATTAATGTTAGGCATTTTATCGGTCGAAGTGTTTATCTTACGTTTTTATAATTAAATAATTTCGCGTTTGGTAGCCTTTAGTGTGCTAGTACAGACTAGTACGAACGACCAAATTCGCTTTAAAAAATTTTTTGTTCCATTTTTCGTTCTATTTTACGTTTATTTTGTCAACTTAACTTTAATCTTGAAATTAATCCCAAATACGAAATAATGAAATAAAACGTTAATACAGAAAAGAAAATAAAGAAATAAATCAAAGGGAGGGAAGCGAAAGGAAGAATATTAATCGTTTTTAAAGGAATCAAGTACACAGATTGAATGTTTCGCTCTATTTCTTATATGTCATTTGAATTTTATTGGTAAATATTGGGTGTTTTTGTATTATTACATAATCTATCTTAAGATCGTTTTAGTCAATGAGATGATCGTAAAGCATCTCCGGATCGTACTTAAAACGATGTCAAATACAATACAATGGTATTTTTTTTTAATTTTTTGTTGCATACAATTTTGAATATTTTTTCATGCACTAGTCTCTTCCGATAAAGCTTTCCGATAGGATTTGTATGTACGCGCGCGCGCTTTCTCTCTGCATCCGGATATAATTCACGTGCGTGTAACGTGCAGCACACCGGCGCGATGTCCTTGGACAATACAGCGCGCGTTTCGTGCACGTTATTTTCGTGGCTAAAGATTACTTAGGTTCGAGAGCGCGTGTCTAAACGCGCAATTTAACTGGAATCGTCGCGCACGCCGATAATCTTATTTTCAAAATTTGCGAAAGACACGTACGCTGCGGAGGCGCATGAAAGAGAGAGAGAGAAAATCACGAGCTTTTTCTAAAACGAAGCACGAAGAGAGGCCATAAAACGATCGAGTTTTCTGCGCTCGAAAGTTCCTTGCTTCTCATTTCGCACGTGCTCTATGTTCGTGCGAATGTTGTTCAAAGTTTCTATGTAAGAACATCTACAAATGTCGCAACGTTGGCGTTGGATCGATGCCCGGATGTTCTGTACAGCGTCGACCAATTTTATTTTATTTTATTCTCTCTCTCTCTCTCTCTCTTTCTACTTTATAGCTGCGAGAACATGCTTATATCTGATGTCTACATTAGTTCTGTATTACGATCTAGAAAATGTGACACGAAGGAGCGACCGTATCTCCAATCGTATCTCCAACTGCAAAGTTATCACACGGAGATAACTTATAGAAATAAAAATATTGGGCGTGAGCCCATATAGCGCAAATGATCGAGTCATCGCATAATTGATCGCCTCTAGATCATCGTTGCAAATCATCTTCAAGTAGAATCTTACATCTCCGTAAGGAAGACGCTATACTTATTACAACTTGTGTCTTTCAAAGATTCATGTAATTTATTAGGAAACGATACGAGGGGTTTTTAGTAACGACCTAATGAGTAGCAGAGTAAGACACTAGCGAAACTAATAACATATTCAAAATTATGCAATCTCATCCGGACTAATTTGAAACTGGTCTCACTTCGACGAATTAATAGAACTGTTCCTCATAATTGCATTATATATGTTATACCTTTTACACTTGATGAAATAAGTATTACTATCATAGATTATAGAAAGAAAAACAGAAAAGATGAAAAATACAAGAAGTTCGTGAAGAACAAACGAAATGTCTCGAAGACATTTAATTTTATAGAAATTCACAACTAAGCGGTGAACTTCCTCGATATTTCCGCTAAAAAAAGTCAATGATTTAATAAAATAATCTGTAGATTATTTTAAGATGACGAAAACTTGACCAAACTCCGTGACTTATAAATATTACTTGACCATGGTATAGATATTACTTGACTTAATATCAAGTAATATCTATATTCTTTTATTAACATGGATAGAATTGATAATTTTTTGACACGTGGAAAAAAAAGATTAGGGATTAGGGACGACATAGAAATTTTGCTGTAAGCGATTGTGTCAGTTGAATTAATCGCCGATTAAGTTGATCGAAGTTTGCACGTCGAAATCGTTCTACGATCCGATCTCAAAATACGAACTCGACTTCGTACTTTTAATTTTTTCTCTCTAATTAGACTTTTTGTACCGTTTATTTTTTCCAAAGTCTAATTACACTGTTCATGCAAAAAAAATTCACAAGAACAAATAAGATAATCGTAGATTTTTGGGCGCTGAATATGATTTCGTTTACCAAATTGCTCTATCGCGTCACAATTTTGAGAAATTTGTGGTTGTAAAGTTGCAAAAAAGGATTGTACTATTTTAGTGTATTTTGGTATACTATATAATTATGATACGACGTATATTGAAGAAGTTTTATTATAATCAATTTTGAAGTCCCAAATAGTTATTTTTATATATTTTGGCGTATTATAATTACGATATGCAATGTTTTGATATTTTCGTCAAAGTTGTGATTTATATATGGCATTAAGGCTCTCTCATTGGTAGGCTACCAGATATTTTTTTTATAATAATATTATTCAAACTTAAGATTTTTTTTAAAGAAAGAATAGTTATTTGTGTAACAAGTGAGGTAAGATGAAAATTCCCGGGTGCGGAGTTTACGCACGAGCCGAAGGCGAGTGCGGTAACCGCACCCGGGAATTTTCATCTTTACACACGGCTTACACTCCCTATTTTATGTTGCAAGTGCCTGGAAAGTGGTCTATCACGCACGCGTAGCGTGCGTAATGGGGCACTTTCCATGCACGTGTTGCATAAAAATTTTTCCAACTTTAAGATTTTTCAGGTTGCTGAATACTAATACGATGTCAAAGTTGATAAATTCAAAATAGCAGAATTAATCAATATAGCAGATGTTAAAATTTAAAAACATTCAAATTTTTGGAATTATTTACGAGGTTTTTCATACAATTTAAATTGAATTTGCTACCTTTGACATATCTCTTCTTCTTCTTCTTATATTATATTGGCTCCTGCCGCTTTTCAGCGGACAGTACGGCCAGATTTGATCGAGCTGTTTGTTTAACAAAGTCTGATTGTGAGTCACTGTTGCGTAGCAAAGTCTGAGTGGAATTTACTGGTAGTCTGAGTGGAAATTACTGGACTGGAATGTGTATATGCATGCGTGTAAGTGTAACTGTGTGTTTATGTCCGTGATGTCTTGAACTCGAGATGCCGTAGGTGCGTTAGGCCCAAGGAACTGCGCGGATCACTTCCCCCCGCGGCCTATCTTTGACATCAGATTTTAGTATTCAGCAATCTAAAAAAGCTTGAATAATATAATTTAAAAATATTTCATAGATCCTTACCCAGGTAGCACATACACGTTTCAAAAATGTTTTATAAGCGTTTTTCCAAAACGTTTTATAACCGATTTCTAGAAACATTTCTCATGAGTAAAAATGTCCATTCGAAAAACGTTCGCTGGAACGTTTCTTTTCCAATAAAATAACGTTTATATCACACGTGCATCGAAAGTGGCCCATTCCGTGCGCGCCATCTGTGTGCGAAGTAGCCAATTCCATGCATGAGAAATTTCTCACTATATTCCCGCACTAGTGCGGGAATATAGTGAGAAATTTCATTCCCGCACGACTCATTGCCAACACTCTCCTTATTTTCCCCACTCATTCTGTGTCTTTCCCACTAGAGTCCTCTTATTTCTGACTAGTGTCCCTGATTTCTGACATGTTCTTAACGACATCTCGCGGCGCACTACGCGAAACACTACGCGTGTTTCCGTGCGCTGCAAGATGTCTACGCGAATTACCACAGCGATACTCAGACATAACCTCAGAAACGCCAGAAACCGAGACCGACTCAATGTAAAATTTCTCGTGTACCCGAAATCGTCGAGGAGTCGCGTAGCGGATGTGTATGTGTGTGCACGTGTGTCGCGCGGATTCGCACGCCAGGACGATCGATAAACCGTCCGTCGTCGAGATCGCGTTTTCCGGGAACGAAACGCGAATCGTCGGGAAGCCCGGCACGTGCCGGCACCTTTCCCTCGAGCTACGAGCCGGCGAAAACCTAATCTGCAAAGGCAACTGTGAAACGGAGACGCTTCGAGCCTACGAGCATTTTGATTCAATTCTTATTGGTTAAGACATTGGACTACTGTGCATACGTAATGTTGTTTCACCTTTCTTATTACATCTTATTACATTCTTTCTTATTACATCTTATTACATTCTTATTA